GAACTCCCAATAACAGTATTTTAATAATTCCTGGAGAAACTACCATATGACCCAGCAATCCCACTCCTAGGCATATATCCAGAGAAAATCATAATTCAAAAAGACACATGCACCCCAATGTTCACTGCAGCACTATTTACAATAGCCAAGACATGGAAGCAACTTAAATGTCCACCAACAGAGGAATGGATAAAGAAGATGTGGCACATATATACAATGGAATATTACTCAGCCATAAAAAGGAACAAAATAGTGCCATTTGCAGAGATGTGGATGGACCTAGAGGCTGTCATACAGAGTGAAGTAAGTCAGAAAAATATCGTATAATATCGCTTATATGTGGAATCTAGAAAAATGGTACAGATGAACTTATTTGCAAAGCAGAAATAGACACACAGATGTAGAGAACAAACATGGATACCAAGGGGGAATGGGTGGGGTGGGATGAATTGGGAGTTGGGGTTGACATATATACACTACTATGTATAAAATAGGTAACTAATGAGAACCTGCTATATAGCACAGGGAACTACTCAGTGCTCTGTGGTGACCTAAAAAGGAAGGAAATCTAAAAAGGAGGGGATATATGTAAGAGGGGATATATGTATAACTGATTCACTTTGCTGTACAGCAGAAACTAACACAACATTGTAAAGCAACTGTACTCCAATAAATTTAAAACACTAGTTAAAAGGAAGACCGGTCTGATTAAAAACAAACAAAAAAAAACAAAATAACTAGGATAATGGTGAAAAAAAAATTCCTGGAGAAAATATACTTTGTGGGTGTTTAACATTTTACATGTCAGTTTTTGTTTTTAGACTCCAAAAATCTCTGAATTTATATTTGAAATTTTCATAAAGTGTCATCCCTATGTAGACAATTTCAAAGGTGTCATGAAAAAAAATTGTACAGAAAAGTTTTCATAAGATGGCATTTACTCTCAGAAACTACCTTGTCAGTGTACCCAAATTGATTAGATTCAGGGCTGCTGACTCAACAAAGCTCGTAAGAGACTTTAATAAAAAGCATAATGGCAGTTTACTAATTTACACTGAGAAATGTAACAGGCGGACCAAGCAATTGCACCAGCCTAGCCACTTAGCATTTTCTGCCTGAAGTTTAACTAGGTGGCAATTCATTTATCAAAAGGTTGCTTAGTGAGTATGGAATCAGGTGAGGAGGCCCCATGATTCAAGTGTATAATGACTTATTTTGATGATCCTAATGAGGGTCATCTCCTGATGGGCAGCTGCATACAGAGACCTGGCAGTGCACTTTTTTCATTGGACTAACAATTAAAATGTGGTCTGTGGAGGGGCTGTTAGCTCAAAATTATTTATCCAATAATACTTTCACTGTGTTGCTATCTGCACTGCTGGCGCATAAACAGTGGGTCAAACTGCTGGTGCCTTAGCACAAATCAAGGCAGTGGTACTGAGTACTCATTGTTTTCTTCACTGCCATGCATTCACTGAACAATGTACTTGATGAATCAGTAATTATATATTTTATTCACAGTACTCACGGTCTTTTCAGTATTTTGTGTGACTGAATGGAAGTATGCCTAAACTTTTTGGTTGTCTTGAAGAAAAGCATTTGTGCAATTGTGTAAGTTGTGGCCCAAACAGGCCACTCTTCTTGGAATGCCATTTGTACTTGAACAACTGAGTGTTTATTGCCAATCATAAAATTTGAGCTTTTGAGGGAAAATTTTAATCTACCATAGTCAGCTTGACAGCTTCCCGCTACCTTCTGATGAAATCAAAGTGATGATATTAATGAATTATTAATTCATTATTAATTATTGAATCAATAATGAATAGTTAAATGTATCCACAATTCGTGGATCCGTATAGCTCAATGGACCAATATTTTCCAAATGACCCATGTATGATATTATCATGAATGCATAAACAATCCATTCACATTACCAGATGTAACAGAACACAAAAAGTACATTGATAGAGTTGCAGATTCCACACTGCAACTAACCTTTGAGAAACCACCACTTGTCGAATTTTGGTGTAGTATTGGAGGATATCCACAACTTCTTAAAAGACTCCTAAAATACTCCCTTTCTGACTATATATCTGTGTGTATGAGTGGATTTTCTTCATGTACTTCAACCAAAAACACCATATTCCAACAGATTGAATACAGAAGCAGATAGGAGAATCTGGAAATCTTCTATTAAGTCAGACAAAAGAGATTTGCAAAAATGTAAAACTGCCATTTTCCTGGTTGGTTTTTTGGAAAATATAAGTTTCATAAAATGTTATTTTTGTTAACATGTAATGGGTTTATTGCTTTATTAATGAATTAAAATTTTAAAATCTCAAATATAGCAAATAGCACTAGCTTGGACCCACATAAAGGAAATCTGGAGCTAGAGGAGAGAGTAAGATCTCTGCCCTCAGGGATCCCAATTTTGAGAGAGACCAACAGTATGCTACACCCCTCAGTACCCTGAAAATGTTTATTAGCTTGTTGAAGAAGTACTATTTGGGAACACAGAAGCAGGAGGGATTATCTTCCTGATGGAGTCAGGAAGGGTTCACAAAGGAGGACAAATTTCGTTAATTACATCCTTTAGTGAGGCCTTCAACTCAATTTTTTAATTGGTTATATCCCAGATATTAACTTATAAATTAGTAAGAGAGTCCAGAAGTTTTCCCTCTGGAAGTTATGTTATAAAAAGCAATGTTTTTCAAAAAAAAAAAAAAAAGGCAATGTTTTTCAAATTGGGTTGTAACCCATTAATGGGCAAGTCAGTGTGTATCTACAAGCTTTAAAAACAAAAAAGTATATATAATAGAACTTTCAACTTCACTGAATTCTCTCACATTTTATTTCTTTCCTTCTACTTGACTTGGTCCACTCTAGCTTTTTTGCCTAGCAATTATTGTGATATAATCGACAAGTAACACTGTGTAAGCTTAAGACATACAGTATGATGATTTGATACATATTGTGAAATGACTACCACGTTAAGATTAGTGACCAGATCCTTCACCTCACACTTGTGTGTGTGAGTGTGTGATCTCTCTTAGCAAATTTCTAGTATATAGTACATGCTCTAATTTTTTAAGGTGGAAGCTTAGATTGATCCAAGCTTAGATGATGATTTTTTCCCCAATATAAGCATTTAATGCTATACATTCTATTTTTATTCAGCTCAAAATATTTTCTAATTTCCCTTCTTGAGACATCCTCTTTCAGTCAGGGATTATTTAGAAGTGTATCATTTAATTGCCAAGTGATCAGAGATTTTCCTGTTATTCTCTATTATTATTATTTAGTGGTTACTCTAGGAATTATATAATACGTATTCAACTTTTTACAGCCTATTTATATCAATATTTTATCACTTCAATTGGCATGTAGAAACCTTACCACGGTATAGGTCTCCTCACCCCCACCATTTATGCTATAGCTGTCTTATATATTACCTATACTTACACTGAAAACCCCATCAGACAATTTTTTTGCATTCAACCACCAAACATATTTTAAAGAACTCAAGAATAGTAGTCTATTACATTTACCAAGAGATTTACTATTTTTGTTACTTTTCTTTCATTCCTGATGTTCCAAGTTTCCTTCTGGTATAATTTTCCTTTTGCCTGAAGAAATTTCTTTCAGCAGTTCTTTTAGATTGGTTCTGCTGGTTGCAAATTCTGTTTAGTTTTCCTCAGCTGAGAAGGTCTTTATTTCATCTTCATTCCTGAAAGATGTTTTCGCTGGATACAGAATTCTGAGTTTACAGTTCTTTCAGCACTTGAGAAATGTCACTTCCTGTCATTAGAATGGTCGTTCACCTACATGTCATCTCTCTCTGGCTGCTTGCAAAATTTTTGTCTTTAGTAATTTGATTTTGATGTGTCTGGCCATGGATGTCTTTGGATTTACCCTATTTGCTCAGCTTCTTGAATCTGTAGGTGTCACCAAACTTGGGATATCTTCAGCCATTACTTCTTCAAACATTTTTTCAGCCCTTTCTCTTCTGTGGGATTCTCAATGCAAGAATGTTAGACCTTTTGTTATTGTCCCAAAGGTGCCTTTTGTTCTTTTTTTTCTTTCTTTTTCCTTTTTTTCCCTCTGTTGGTCAGATTAGATCATTTCTATTAATCTGTCTTCAAATTCACTGACTTTTTTTCTCTTGTCATCTCCATTCTACTATTGAACCAATCCAATGAGTGTTTTGGTTATTATATTTCTCAGTTCTAGACATGGGCATTGGAAGGGCTGCAGCCTGTAAATTATTGTGAAGCGATGGGGAGTTACCCGAAACCCACTGGTAAGTTGAAACACCAAATGTGGATGCCTGTGGCTCACGACAGGAACTGAAGACACTGAGAGATGCTGAGGTGCGTGCCTGTGTCTTGTGCGTTCCTACGCAGCGCGGCTCAGCTGGGTGCATTTTTCCGCATTCACCTAGTGTTTTTCCAGGATGAAGTTACGCATAAACAAACGTGGACGTCTAGCACGGGCACCCCCGGGGGCCTGTAAAAGCACAGAGCGCTGGCCCCAGCCCCGTCTGGGATGGAGCCCAGAATTCGCACTCCTGACAAGTTCCCTGGAGCCGTGAAGCGTCGGCACCTGGTCTGAGGACCGCCCTTTGGAAGCACGGCCTTGCGCTGAGCGGGAGCTTTCTGCAGCGTCTAGATCGTACAAGTCCTCTCCGCACCGGCACCCGCGCCCGGCTGCGCGTCCGGACTAAACACGTCACCGCCTTCACGCGCTGGCAGAGAAGCAGCCGCCACAGGAGCCGGCCGGGTGCGCCGGCGCTGCTTCCGGGTGCACTCCGACACTGGCTTTGCGTTCCGGCGACCGACCTCCGGGTGCGCGGCGGCGGGAGGACGACACTAGGGCGCACCCTCGCGCTGGTCCTGCTGGGCGCGCTTCCGGCCGCGCAGGCGCAGGAGGCCGCGAGCCAGACCGGGAGCCGGGACTGCAGGTAGGGGCGGCGGGCCGGGGGAGGGGTCGGCAGGTAGGGGCGGCGGGCGGGCGCGGGGGTAGCTGGGCCGCGTCCTGCCTGGCGCCCGAGCTGGACTTGAGCCGACGGAAACGCCGCCGGGACAGGCTTCAGCTCCTGCCTCTGTTGGTGCCGCGCTGCCACCGCCTCCAGGTCTGGAATCGTCTGCTGCCCCTTTTTAAAAAGCAGGGTTTAGCCGTGTTCTTTGGTGGTCTTGTCTTCTCCACCCTTGCTTGACCTTTACTATAGAACCTTAAGGCTAAGCAGGCATCCGGAATATTTAAAATAATTAATGTACCTGTGCTTTGTTGGCAAAATGGGATTCTAACCAAAATTGTATGGGCGGGGGGCGGGGGCACTAATTCATCATTTCTTCTCTGGTTGGTTGTGTAAATTATTCTGTAGCTGGTAAAAACCAATTTTGTTCCATTGCTTTTCTTTCTTTTTAAATTAAGCTGTGAGTGTATAGCAGTGGGAACCACTTTTTTCCTGTTGCCAGTTTTTTCTTATTGTCAGAAATCCTTTGTGTCTAAACAGTGCCTGAATTTCTCCTACCCACCTGGACCTTTAATCGTTATTTCTTAATTTGTAGAAGCTTTCAGTGTCGTTTTGCTTATTTCTGGGCGAGAACATTTCCTCAGCCATACAGCCTCTTCCCTAACTCTGGGCAACATACTACAGAAATATGCCTTTAAAAGAAAAAGGAGGGGACTTCCCTGGTGGTCCAGTAGTAGAGAATCCTCCTTACAATGCAGGGGATGCGGGTTCGATCCCTGGTCAGGGAACTGAGATCCCACATGCCGCGGGGCAACTAAGCCCGCACACCACAGCTGGAGAGCCTTCTTGCCGCAAAGTGCAAAGCCCACATGCCCTGGAGCCTGGGCACCACAACTAGAAAGACGCCCGCGGCCGCAATGAAAGATCCTGCATGCCACAACTAAGACCCGATGCAGCCAAAAACAAATTAAGTAAATAATAAATCTTTTAAAAAAAGACCATAAGGTGATAGAGTGGGTGAATGACTTCTTTAAGAAGTGGGTGGGACTTCCCTGATGGCACAGTGGTTAAGAATCTGCCAGCCAACGCAGGGGACACGGGTTCGAGCCCTGGTCCGGGAAGATCCCACATGTCGCAGAGTAACTAAGCCCACGTGCCACAACTACTGAGCCCCTGCTCCGCAACAAGGGAAGCCACCACAATGAGAAGCCCGGGCATTGCAACGAAGAGTAGCCCCTGCTCGCCGCAACTAGATAAAGCCCGTGCGCCGCAATGAAAACCCAACACAGCCAAAAATAAATAAAATGATTAAAAAAAAAAAGACCCTATATAAACCTTCCACATGTACACAGGAAGTGTGTGCAAACCTGAATCACCAGCTGTGGTATAGTCAATCCAAAAGAGCGAAGTAGAGCGTCATGTATCTTCTTCGATAAACCTCAAAAACATAATGCTGGGCTTTTAAAAAAGCAAGTCGTAAGAGGACTTTGTGTCCTGCATCCCCGATACAGAGGGATTCTACGCCATTTTATATGAGGGACTTGAGCATCCACAGATGCTGGTTTTCGCAGGGGGTCCTGGAACCAATCCCCTGCGGTTACTGAGGGACGAACAGTACAACACTGCTTGTATTAATATAAAGTTTGAAAACATACGTGTATTATGTGTTGTTATTTATGGGCACATACTCATGTGGTGAGAATAAAAAGCACGCATGGAAATTATTAAAGTTCAGCTTGCACCCCCACGTCACGTGTGTTAACACAGATGTCTGGGCTCCACCTCAGAGTTTCTGGTGCAGTAGGTGTGGGGCAAGGACTTAAGAACCTGCATTTCTCAGAAGTTCCAGGTGGTGCTGCGGCAGGTACAGGGACCACAGTTTGAGAACTACTGACATACCAACTTGAGGATGGGGACTATTTCTTGGGATGGAGCAGAATAGGACTGCGAGGGGCCCCTGGCTTCAACCATGTTTGTAATAGGTTATTTCTTTAACAAGGGGATGCAGTATTACTTGACAAAGCTGGATGGGTGCTCATGATCTTACGTTTTAACTTTCTTTATGCTTGAAACATTTCAGGAAAGAAAAAAGATCCTAGTCGGTGAGGAAAATGGATTGGAAAAGAGAAAGCAGTGGGAGAGTGCGTAGGAAAGCGTTGCAGAAGCCCAGGAAGGTGATGCTTAGACCAGGGCGGGGGAACGGGGGCGGGGGGATCGGGTGTGAGCAGATTTGGGAGCTTTGCAGAGACAAGTGACTGTTGGTGGTGACTGGTTGGTCTAGTGGCTCCGGGGAGGGAAGAATCAAGTCACCTGGTTGTGTGCCCGTCACAGAGGGGAACCCTGTGGAGTGGGCATGCTGGCGACCGGAGAGACAGAATTCAGGTATGGATGTTGCAGACCTTGAGGGGCCAACTGAGCGAAGTGTAGGAGAAAGAGCCAGGCCACAGAAGAGGCTTGAAACAATCGGCGTGTACACAGCCGCCAGAGCCACATGCGGGGACGAGACCGCGTGGAAGGCGTGGAATGGAAGGGGGGCCCACGACATCCAGAGGGATGCCGTCACCTAAGCTGGGCTGGCTGGCTGCTCCCCGCCACCCATTCTTGTACGGCCTGTGAGCTGAGGATGCTTTTCACTTTTTTAAATGTTGGGGGAAAAATCAAAAAAACATGTGGCATGTGAAATTCGAATCTCAGCTTCCATGAACACAGTTTTGTTGGGGCACAGTCATGCTCGCTCACTTGTGTAGCATGGCCTGGCTTCTGCTGACAATGAGATGAAGTAACTGACGGTTACCTGGTCGCTCGGCACCACTGCTTCTCACCCCGCACATCACGGTGCCGTGGCCACTCGATTCCTGCTTCTGGCCCCTAAACCTGAACATTTGCTGTCTGATCCTTTACAGAAAATAGTTCTCTGCTCCCTGACCTCAGGTCTAAGTTGACACACTCTTGGTCACTTTAAATGCTACAGAGGAGACATGGCCGTGGTTTTGCCCATTTCTTTAAGGTCACCTTCTAAGAATCAGGCGTCGGTGGAAGAAGCTCAAGAGACCGTGAGGCCTGAGTGGTGAACGTCATCATCATGTCCACAGGAGTCCTGGAAGATGCCTGGAGGGAGAGAGGTGGAGAGAAAGATGTGGGCCCGGAATCTCGGTGAGGAAGGTGAGCAGACAACTCCCTGCAGCATTGCTGGGCGTTGCTGACAGGACTCAGGTGGCGGGTGAGCATGTGGCATCGTCTCGAGAAAGGAGCTGTTAAATGAGGCTGGAGCAGTCGAGTAGAGCCAGGGTCTCTCGAGCACCTCGTCATGACGGCAGGGATGAGCAAAGCGGCGTGTTCTCTTCTCATTAGGAAGAGTACGCTGACCCGTAGAAGGGCCCATTACTTCTGAAATTCCCTGCTCAGCAGAAGAGTGTCACTCCTGACCCTTCACCTGCAGCCTTGTCACTGGAAGAATACAGTTGTCACTCACTGAGATTGCGAACACTGAAAACAGCAGATTTGAGGGGAAGAGTTGAGTTTGGGAAGTTTTTTTTTTTTTTAAAGGTTTCCCTTTTCTATTTTTTTTTTTAAAGGTTTCCCTTTTCTATTTTTTTTTTTTAAGATGTTGGGGGTAGCAGTTTATTAATTAATTTATTTATTTTTGCTGTGTTGGGTCTTGGTTTCTGTGCGAGGGCTTTCTCTAGTTGTGGCAAGCAGGGGCCGCTCTTCATCGCGGTGCGCGGGCCTCTCACTATCGCAGCCTCTCTTGTTGTGGAGCACAGGCTCCAGACGCGCAGGCTCAGTAATTGTGGCTCACGGGCCTAGTTGCTCCACGGCATGTGGGATCCTCCCAGACCAGGGCTCGAACCTGTGTCCCCTGCATTGGCAGGCAGATTCTCAACCACTGCGCCACCAGGGAAGCCCGGGAAGTATTTTTATATTTTAATGTTGAGATTTTATATATACATAAAAATACACACCACGTCTTCTTTATCCATTCCTCTGTTGATCGACGCTTAGGTTGCTTCCATGTCTATTTATATGGTAAATAGAGCTGCAGTCAGCATTGGGGTGCATGTAACTTTTCGAATTAGTGGGGGTTTTTTTTTGCTGGATATATACCCACAAGTGGGATTGCTGGATTATATGGTAGTTCTAATTTTAGTTTTTTGAGGGACCTTCACACTGTTCTCCATAGTGGCTGCACCGATTTACATTCCCACCAACAGTGCAGGAGGGTTCCCTTTTCTCCACACCCTCTCCAGCGTTTATTGTCTCTTGTCTTTTTGATGATGGCCATTCTGACAGGTGTGAGGTGATATCTCATGATGGTTTTAATTTGCATTTCTCTGATGATTAACAATGCTGAGCATCTTTTCATATGTTGGCCGTTCATATTGTCTTTGGAAAAATGTCTATTCAGGTTTTCTGATCACTCAGCCATAAGAAAGAATGAAATTCTGCTATTTGTAACAATATGGATGGACCTAGAGAGTATTATGCTTAGTGAAATAAGTCAGAGAAAGACTAATACCGTATGATGTCACTTATATGTGGAATCTAAAAATAAAACCAACAAATGTATATAGCAAAACAGAAACAGATATAGAGAACAAACCAGTGGTTACCAGTGGGGAGAGGGAAGAGAGGGGGAAAGATAGAGGTATGGGATTAAGAGTTACAAACTCCTATGTATAGAATAGGTAAGCAACAAGGATAATTGTACGGCACAGGGAATACAGCCATTGTTTTGTAATACAGTAAGTCCCCTACACATGAACCTTCAAGTTGCGAGCTTTCAAAGATGCGAACCTATGTTCCATCATCGTCAGGCGTGAGTGAAATGGCAGCTTGCCCTCCGTCTCCTATTGCTGACGACCCTTCAGCTCTGCCATCTCCCACCTGCTCTCCCTCCTCCAGTCAGTAACTCTCCTTGCCTGTTCACTCGATGCCAGCCCCTGTGTGCCGGCTGTTGTACTGGACTACCGTACTTTTCAGGGTACTGTACTGTGAGATTAAACATGTTTTCTGTATTTTGTGTGTTTGTTTTTTATGTATTATTTGCGTGAAAAGTATTATAAACCTATTACAGTACAGTGCTGTAGCCGATTGTGTTAGTTTGGTACCTAGGCTAACTTTGTTGGACTTAACGAACACTATCTTGGAATGGAACTCGTTCGTAGGTAGTGGACTTGCTGTAGCTTTAGATGGAATATAATCTAGAAAAATACTGAATCACTGTGTTGTACACCTGAAACTAATACAATATTGTAAATCAACTATAATTCAATTTAAAAATTAGGTTGAGATATATTTTACAGGCTATAGATTTGCTATTGTAAAGTGTACAGTTAGTGATTTTTAGTATATTCACAAGGTTGTGCAACCGTCACCACTAATTCCAGAACATTTTCATCCAAAAAGAAATCCTGTCACATCAGCTACCTCTCCCCATGTCCGCTTCCACCCAGGCCCTGGCAACCACTGATCTACTTGCTGTCTCTGGACTTCCCTGTTCTGGAATCATATGCTATTTCCCTTAGTTAATTTTCCTGAGAATAATGTTTTCAGTGCGTGTTGCAGCATGTATTAGTGCTTTATCCCTTTTAACGGCCGAATACTCTGTCATTGTGCGGACACATCACGTTCTGTTTATCCAGGCGTCACCTGATGGACATTTAGGTTGCTTTCACTATTTGGCTGTTATGAATAACGCTGCTGTGAACATTCATGTACAGGTGTTTGCACGAATGTATGTTTTCAGTTCTCTTGGGTAGATACCGAGCAGTAGATTTGGTGGTAACTCTGTGTTTAACCTTTGAGGACTTCAGACTGTTTTCCACAGTGGCTGCTCCATTTTGCATTGTCACCAGCAATGTATGAGGGTTTCCCATCCACACTTGTTACCGCCTGGTTTTTTGATTATAGCCATCCTAGAGGGTGTGAGGTGGGATCGCGTCGTTTTGGTGTGCGTTTCCCTGGTGACTGTTAAAGTTGAGCGTCTTTTCATGTGCCTGTTGGCCATCTGTATATCTTCTTTGGAGAAATGTCTGTTCAAGTCCTTTGCCCATTTTTAAATTGAGTTATTTGTCTTTTTATTGTGGAGGAGAAATATTATTTTTGAGTTGTCCACCAGACTCCAAGTAGAGGTGTCAGGAAAGCAGGTGTGGAGTTCTGGGGAGACTGGGACTGGGCTTCACACCTGGAGCTCAGCGGATGGGCATGGAGATCTCCCCACCCTGGGAACGAGGGCGGGGCCAGGTCCCAGCTGCAACTGGTTTCCTGGGAGCCGAGTGCAGAGCATTTTCAGGAGGAGGGAGGGAGTGGTCAGCCAGGCCAGGTGCTGCCGAGGGGCCAGGCCTGCACGTTGGCTGTTGAGCTTTGGCACAGGGTCTGTGCCGTCAGTGGTGTCCCGTGTGCCCCAGTGCTGCGGTTAAGCCGGCGCACAGTGGTACAGCCACATCGCTCGTCGGGGTAGTGATGCTCCCTGCGCATGGCAACCAGCGTCCGCCCCAGGTACCCTGAGTGTCCCGCTCCCGATGTCCAGGTCCCTCCCCACCCTCCACCGAGGCAACCGGGTGGTAACGCCTGCCTCCACCCCGGGCCTCGCACCTGCTCCTGGGTGGGAGCCCACTGGATGGCGAGCGCCCCTGCCTCACCGTGGCTGCTCACCTGCGCGCCCGCCCGTCTCCCCCTGGTCGTGTTGCCCTGCGTTCTCATCAGCGCTCGTTCTGGATTCCCGCTGGGACCTCCCACCCTGGGGCACCTTTCACGCCTTTGCTTCTTAAAAACATCAGGGGGCTTTTGAGTACCTTGCAAGGAACATCCCAACCCCTCAGAGTCCCAGCCACACCCCGACCCCAGCTTCTCTCCTGTCCACCTCCTGCCCCAACCCCACTGGACTAACAAAGCCACAGTTTGCTTTCATCTTACTAGCTGTTCAGTGCGTATCTACTCAGCGCAGACAGCTGCAGGGAGACAGAGACAAAGTCAGACCCAAGACTCCCTTCTGCTCGAAGCTGTAATAGGAAGCAACGATTCTGGGAGGAGCTGGCATCGAGCGTTTGGTGCAAGGCTGCTCTCAAACCCTCTCTGATCCTCACGGTGACCCTGAGGCCCGGGAGGCTGTGTCACCCTCAGTCTTTCCTGAAATAAGATGGACCGTGACTACTCCCTGTTTCACTGTCTGTTTTAGGAGCTCGCAGAAGCCAGCACCATGGAGACGAGGCCCCAGGGGGGCAGGAAAGGGCCCCCGCCCAGGGACGTGCCCCCGGTGGTGGGACTGCTGCTGTCCATGGCCCTCATGAACGCCCTCCTCTACCTCTGCCTCGACTGGCTCTTCATCTCGCCCCGGCGCTCCACGGAGGACCCCACGCGCTGTCCCTACGGCCACTTCCGGATGGGGCCGACGAGCAACTGCTCCCCGTGGCTGTCCTGCGAGCAGCTGAGGACAGAAGTGAGGCAGATGAAGCGTGTCGGGGAAGGAGCCGTGAAGAGAGTGAGTCCCTGGCTCACCGCCCGGGGCAGCAAGTGGCCCAGCGGGAGGGGGGCTGGCATCGTGTGCCGGAAGCCACGAGCCCAGCCGCCAGTGCTTCCAGCTGGGACATTATCCTATAGAGGGAGGCGAAGGAAGGAAGCGGCTAGGTGCACCAAGGAGTACTCTGCTTCGTTGTTGACAGTAATAGAAAACTAGAAGTAATAACTACAGGGCAATGGTTAAGTTATGGTCCAACCACTTGTAGAATATTCTACAGCCAGTAAGTGTAGTTAGGAACCCTCGGCAACATGCAAAAGCTCTCATTATGATAAGCAGAAAAGCAAAATAGAAAAGTGTGCAATATGCAGTTTTCATCTGCAAGATTGTATATGTAGAAAAATATTAAAATGATAGAAAGTGTGTTATGGTGAAGGAAGATTTGGGGCAGTTTTTTTCGTTCTTATTTTTCGAACTCTATAGTGGTATTATATTGATTAAAAAATTTTTATTTTAAAAAGAGAAAGCAAAGGGGCGAATTCAGCTCTCACACAGAAGCTTCCAGAGCCCCGTCTCATGGGCTGCATTTCCGCAGTGGTTGCACTGAGACAGGGTGACTCCAGAAGCCAGTGAAGGGTGTTGAACAGGACAGACCCTCTGTGAGGACGCAGCGAGTGACGGCAGGGCTGCAGCTGGATAGACAGCTGCGTCCCTGAATGGGGAAAGGATTCACCTTGAAGGAGGGAGTCAGAGGGGAGAAGGGAGGGGAATTAATGTGAGGTGAAACCATGAAGCCAGGTGACAGGAAGGTAACGGGTTTCTTCAGATTTGCCTGCTCATTGTAGTGGGTGCTGGGGGCGCAGCAGTGGACAGAACAAAGGCCCTTAAAGCCGGCTGGGGAGTCAGACAGTCAAGAAGACAAGAAACAGGTGCGTAGGAAGCTGTGTTAGTGACGTGCTCTGAGCCAGTGGGGCAAGGGAAGAGCCGCGGGCTTGTTACTCCAGGTGGTCAGAATGGTGTGGTACTTGGGGACAATGACCCAGCAAGAAAGATGGGGACCAGCAGACGCCCCTGGGTGGGATGTGCCTGCTTGTCCAGGACCAGAGGCAGGATGCAAGGAAGGCGTCAGAGGTGAGGGTGCCCCGGGGCTGCTGGCCGCAGGCACCACCTCGGGCAGCGTGAGTGGAGGGGAGGACTGCTGGCCTGTGTGCAGAGCAGACCCGGCCGGGCTCGTGGGGAGTTTGGTGACAGGTGGCTACAGCTCGACATGAGTGTCAGCACCGGACACGGTAAGAAATCAGTGGGTTCTGGTTGTATCTTAAAGGTGGGGGCGGTAGGATGTCCCAATAGACTGGACGTGGGGTGTAAGGGAGGGGATGACGGAGGCGCCCGGCTGGGGCAGCAGGGAGGACAGGGTCTGCGTCACCTGCTCGGGAAGGCCCTGTGAGTGTATGAGGTGACCATCCTGAGCCGTTTAGGTGGCCAGGCAGGGACACGGGCAGTCGGGTGTACGAGTCTGGCACTCGGGGGCGGGGATGGAGATTTGGGTGGTGTTGACAGCATTGGGCTCAGCGGTCACCAGGGAGGGGAGCAGTAGAGGACTCACAGGCAGGTAATTTCTGTCTCCTTCGGAGAGGGACCCTGAGGGCCGCCCACTTGCTTCCATGCTGCTGTGCTCGCTCAGAACATTTCTGGAATTGCTTTTACCCTGAAGGATGTTTTTGAGTAGCTTCCATGGTGGCAGATTATTGTTTGAGGACAGATTTGATTTTACGGAACCTCGCAGGTGACACCCAGCCAGCTAGATTCAACAATGTGGAATGTGGTTTGTTCCACTGAGATTTTGTTTCTTTGGCTGAAACTTGCCCTTGGGTCACAGGTGTTCTGAGCGCAAGATATCAGCTCCACTGGGAGCCCCATCTGTCCTGCCCCGTTGGGACCCCGGGGCCTGTGCATGGTCCGGCCCAGGGCAGTCCCCTGACCCTCCGTCTAGGCACCTACTCCAACAATCCTGCTGCGGCCGCCCTGCGTACGTGGGCATCCCTCCTCTCTGGCACCCGTTCTGGGGGCATAGTTTCTCAATAGGAATTTCTGTGACCAAAGTTCCTGACATCCCTGTCTGACCTCCACCCCGCCCCTCCTGGCGCCCCGGCTTCAGTAACTCCTCGGGGCCTCGGTGGGCTGATCCCACCACCTTCTCCCTCTCTGACCCTCCCGCCTGTCTGCATTCCGACTCACCCAGCAGCAGATTCTGCTGCTGTGCCCTCGTCACTCTGGCGCAGACACTGGCAACATCTCCCTGCATCTCTGTCTCCATCCTGCCTGGCGGGGAAAGCCCCACACCCGGTTGACGCCAGCTGTGTATCTGCACTTGGGCAGCTGTCCTGGAGGCAGAGAGGAATGCCACAACCCTGCCATTCCGGCACGACCACAAACCTCAGCACAGCCCAGGGGTCAGGCTCTTTTCCCTTAGTTACTTTTTCCTCCCATTCTCTGAGACAGACGTTTCCTTTAACAACCCCCTCGTTGTTTCCTTAGACGTTTCCTTAGCTGGTGATCTTGCTACTAAGATGTTATGAAAACAGAAGCCACCCAGAGGCCCTGTCCTCATCTGCCCACCCGACCTACAAACCTTCCAGCTCCGGGGTCGTCCCTGACTGCTCACAAGTTCCCTTTAAATGATTCCCCCTTCCCTACATCATCGCTCTTCCCCACTCTGAAGGTGGTCCCTACTGGCTACACACAAACGCTCGCGCTTTCAAAGAGAAAACCCTCTTCCCGTGATTCCCTGTTGCTTCCCCTCTGCTTCCTCCTCACCCATCCACCCTTCCATCCTCCTCCTGAGAGGCTCCCAAACACCAACCTCCAGGGAGACGCTCTCACCCAGCTTCCTGCTGACCCCTGGCCAGATGTTGCTCTGCCTGCCTCTCACTTGACCTTTCCTGCAGCCCGGGCTCCTCGACTTTCTGGTTTTCCTCCCCTGGGCAGCCCTTCCTATTTACTCTCCCCTTGGCTTCTCCTGTTCGCTCTTCTTGCCTCAAGCAGCGGTTCTTAGCCCAGAGGCGAGGCTACTCCTCAGGGGACATTTAGCAATGAGTAGAGACCCCCGTGTGGCTGTCACAGCTGGGCGTGGGGAGGTGACACGGGTGTCCAGTGGGCAGAGACCAGGGGCGCTGCTGACCACCCTGCCATGCGGGGACGGCCCCATCCCCAGCAGGTGGCTGCGCGGCCCGAGGTGGCCCTGGTGCTGAGGCTGAGAAACCTTATTCCTCCCGTGGCTTCCAGGGTCCCCTTCTTTTGTCTTCTTGGGATGCACTCTTAGGTGATTTAATCTATCCATTGCTCTAAATGCATTTTTTGGGCTGGCGACCCCCAGCTTGATACCTGCAGCCCGTCCCTCTCCCCTGAGCTGCAGGTCTGTGTATCCCCCTGTACTTGACCTGTCTACTTGGAAGTCTCTTGAGAATCTAAGTGTGACCAAGGTGGAACTCTTGGTAATTTCCCCTCTGAAGCCCGTTCTTCCCCAGCCCTCCTGTCTCAGTAAATGCCAGCACTCCCCCCAGTGGCGCCGGCCAGTCCAGGGAGTCAGCTTGCGTCCTCTCACCCCCTCCCCCTGACTAGGCCAAGAGCAAGTTCTATCAGGTATGTTTTCAAAACATTTCCCAACTTGTTGGGTAACCCCTCCGTCCCTGGCCTTGGAACCGGCCTCCCTGCCCACCTGTGCCCTTCTCCAAGCCCCAGGCAGGCATCTTGCAGACACACTTCAGACCACACATGTCCCTTCCTTAAAACCCAAAGCATCCTTAGGAAAAACCCCAAACCCGGGCCCAACCTTCCTCCTAAACTCACCCAGGCCGGTCCGGGTCCTCACCCCACCCTGCAGCCACCCTGCCCTTTCTTTTGTTCCTTGATCAGACAAGCCCTTTCTCACCTCGGGGCCTTTCCCAGTCTGAAATCTCTTCCTCCCCATCTGCCCGACTCCTCATGTCCAGATCTCAGCTCAGATGTCACTTCTCTGAGAGGCTTTCCCTGACATCCCTCTCTAAACCCATCTCACCCCCTGCCGTGGACCCTCCCACCTGGCATCTGGTTTGTTGTCTCGTATAAATGCAAGCTTCCTGAGGGCACAGACACCAAGTTACCTGTGTGTCCTCAGCATCTAGCCCGTGGCAGGTTCATAGAGCAAATTTTAGGGGCCTGAACACAAAGGCTCATTGGCTGAATCCACATAAAATAAAATACTGGCTTATCTTTGACAGTTTCCTCACTATACAAGCACACCACCCTCCCCCCTTTCCCCAGGCTGTGTTTCTGGTTTGTGTTTGGAATTGCTGGGGCCACAGATCTTTTCCTGCAGCTGGTTTGGGGGCAAGGCCGACTGTCCCCGTTTTTCCTTTTCTGCCCTTTGATTATGAACGCAGCGCATCCAGCTCGGATGTTCGAAGGAGCTGGAGCCCAGGGTGAAGGCCCTTCACCTGCCCCTCCCCGCTGTCCCATCTGACGCCTGCAGGTGACAGCGGGTTCAGCCCTTTTGGATTTTTAAACCCAAGATGACACTGAACGGACAGGTACGTTTTCTGCCAGCTGCTCAAGGACAGCAGCGGCCACGTCTCAGGGCTGCCAGTTTTCTGAACCTCAGACTTGGGCAGCAGTGCTCGTGAGGAGGAAGGACTGCAGTAGAACCGGTGCTTCCGGGGGCGGACACTCCACCGTGCTTTGCGGGCACCAGGCACCATCCCGGCCACTCGTGTCCACCTGGGGGAGCGGAGGCGGTGTGGCCCCGTGCAGCATCTGTGTACTTAGCCGCACAACCCTCCAGCAGAGTTTTCTCAGTTACGTGGTTTTTCCTTTAAAATTAAGGTATGGTACTTTAAAAAGCCATAACATTTGAGTTGGCTCCCATCAGAAGAATGGATTCAGCTCTTACTCTGTCGCCCTTTTGTTTTGTGTAACCCTTAGAAGGGCCGTGTGTGATCTGTTCTTACTGTGGAAGGCTGGCGGGAGCGCAGGCGTGGCATGAAATAGCAGCGTCTGCCCCTCGGTCTCCCCTGCAGGCTCCATCTCCTCATCCTCTTAGCCTTGGACTTCTCCTCTGTGCGCACTGCCAGCGTGGCCTCTTCCAGCCCCGTATCTTTATCCCCTGAACGAACTCTGGACTTTTCTATCCCCTGCCTACCCCGCATCTTGGATGTGGAATGTCTTCCCAGCCTGAGTGTGTCACAGGCCATCCCCTTAGCCGGCTCCTCCTTCACCGCCGCATCACCCTAAGGACAGCCCCATCCATCCAGCTGCCTACCCCACAACCCGGGAGGCATCCTTTGTTTTCGTTTTTGCATTTGATTTTTCTTTTATATTGGAGTCGAGTTGATATACAGTGCTGTGTTAGCTTCAGATGTACAGCACAGTGAGTCAGTTACACATATACATGTATCCACTCTTTTTCAGATTCTTTTCCCATATAGGTCATTACAGAGTATTGAGTAGAGTTCCCTGTGCGACTGAGCAGGTCCTTGTTGATTATCTGTCTTGTATATAGTAGTGTGTATATGTTCACCCCAAACTCCTAATTTATCCCTCCCCGCCCAGGGAGGCACCCTTGTCATCCCGCTTTCTCCACAGCCACGTTCAGTCCCTCAGCAAGTTGCAGTGTCTCCACACGCAGGAGAGACCTGGAATTTGGCTGCTCCTCGGCTTCTTCCCGGCCCCCTTCCCGCCCAGGCCTCTGTGCCTGGTACCTGATTATCTCGGCAGCCTCCAGATCGCTCTCTGCCTCCACACTTGCCCCTTCAGATGCTCTCACACAGCAGCCAGCTCCTCCGTGTAGGGTGCCCTGTCTCACGCTAGTCCTTTCGGCGACTGAAGGCCTCTCCCAGCCTCTGCTCCCCTCCCCCTGCTCAGACACTGCAGCCCGTGGACATATCCCACCCCAGGGCCTTTACCCTGCTGTCCTCCCCACCTGGGACATGGTCCCAGATGCCACGTGGCTCCATGCTCCACCTCCTTCAGGCTCCTGTTCGAGCCTCACCCCAGTGAGAGCTTCCCCAAGCTAGTAAAGCTGTAAACCCTTCCCTGCTTAATTTTTCTCCAAAGCATGTTTTACCTTCTAATGTACTTTACACACTTCCTATTTATTTTCTCTCTTGTCCGCCTCCTGCACTAGAATGTAAATTTCATATGGGCAGGGATTTATTTCAGTTTTTTTAATTGACATAAGTACTTGTTAAATGAATGAAGACAGATTTGACATTGTACTACAGAAGACCACATAAGCTAATTATCTTCTAAAATTTGTCTTTACATTTGTAATAAAGGATCACATTAATAATATATAAAGAACTAGATATTAATAAGCACAAAGCAAACAACCCTAGAGAAAATACTATGAAGGACAATGAACAGACTTTCCACAGAAGAAATACAGAAATGCCCAGAGGGTGAAAAGTGCTCAGTCTCATTAATAATCAGGGAAATACAGATTGGAACAGGAAAATGTTTTTCATCCATTAGATTGGCACAGATTACCAAGATTGGTAACACCTAGTGTGGTTAAGGCTCTAGAACACAAGATCTGTACACGATTGGTGAAAGTACATGTTGGTACTTTGAAGGGTCCTGATAGTACCTCGTCTTCATTCAGTGGTGCATCTACTTACCTAGCTTATAAAAACACTTGCACATGTGCACAGAGATGTAAATATAAGGCTATTCATTGCAGAATTGTTGTTGCTAAGAAATAAATGGGAAATAGTTTAAATGTCTATCAAGTCTTTAAAAATAGATTACATAAGATCTTGTTAACTGTTTATGTAAAATGATAGAGCTGTGTAGAAAAAAGAACCTAATCCATTCTAACAGCATCTGTTCCAAATTTTATGAATTTTTATTATATCATAGTTTAGTTTTAAAAAAAAGAAATGATCGTCTGTAAAACTGAAAATATACCAGTATAAGTAGTACACCCGTACTATGAAATATTCTGCGGCTTTAAGAAGAATGACCTAGATCTATATATACATTACGGAAAGATTTCTGAGGCATCTGTTAAATGAAAAAAGCCACCTGCAATATAGTTGTCATATTCCCACTTTACATAATAAACTCAAATGCTATTTGGTAAATGGACATTAATACATGTAAATGCATAGAGAAACTTCTGGGAGGTTACCAGCCAAATAGTTAGCTAGTTTCCTTTGGGTTGGGAGTAAATGCAGAGGAAGGAGTTCTACTCCTTCTGTATTTGAACTTTTACCAAGAAAAGTATTCATGATTATTTTTATAACTAAAGAAAAAAGGTAAAGTTGGTTTCTGAGAAATGATTCTTAAACTTTAACTTGCAAATATTTAATATTGGAGGCTTCAGATATTTGTGAGAGAGCCCAAAGACTAATACTACTTAATAATAAGTAGTATTTAATCTTTCATTTATCTGAGGCACAGAAATGGATTTGTCATAAACGAGGGTTCAGGAGGAAGTCACGAGGCCTGTAGCCGAACGTCTCCCGCGTTTCTTGTTGAATAAATGCATAAACCGTGGCAGCTTCTCTAAAGTGATTACTGTTTTGTATGAAAAATGGGCCTGGACACCAAAGCCGTCTGCTAGTGCTGGTGCCGACCACGAGCAGGAGGGAAGCCCAAGGGAGTGATGGGCTCAACAGAAGCAGGGGTTTTTTTGTTTGTTTGTTTTGTTTTGTTTTGCGGTACGCGGGCCTCTCACTGTTGTGGCCTCTCCTGCTGCGGAGCACAGGCTCCGGACGTGCAGGCTCGGCGGCCATGGCTCACGGGCCCAGCCGCTCCGCGGCATGTGGGAATCTTCCCGGCCCGGGGCACGAACCCGTGTCCCCGGCGTCGGCAGGCAGACTCTCAACCACTGCGCCACCAGGGAAGCCCAGAAACAGGATTTTTATATTGGAGTCAGAGATCAAATACAGTGCTGGTGCAGATCTATGGAGAGAATAAAATGTGTTCTGTATAAAAATAAATAAAATATATATTCATGAAACTTACAGTGACGGTAGCAGCCAGAGACATATGGCTTCTTAATAGAAATTATCCGTAGTGAAATTTCTCAAATTCGGATTTTTGAGAAGGTCTTGAAAGATTTCTCTTTTGAATAAACGGTCAACAGCAGTTAAAGGGTTTTTCCATTAAGGAACCTCCCTTCTCAGGCCCAAAATAAATCTTCACAGTCCTCTAGCCCACCTCCATTTGAAATAATAGTTTTTAGTTCTTTAAAAAAAATGTTTTAAAATATAAAAGTAATATATATTCATTCTGGAAAAGTTATACCAAAAGGTATGAAGGAAAAAAAAAAGCATATAAAGAAAACAGCAAAAATCCTTCGATTCCTATGTAATTTTGCCTTGTTTTATGTAGTTAGAACAATGGTATAAAAACACTTTGTATCCTTTTCATTTGTAACATGACTTTTACCTGTGAAAACCCTATCAGGGTCTGCATTTTGCTGAGCCCTGTAACCTTCCTTGAGTGGTCCTGCATAACCAGACTGCTCCCCGATTTTTGATGGATGGATAGCTTCCAGTTATGCTTTTATAAATAATGCCAGATTTTTATTCTCAGAGCTTTTTAGGTATTTCAGATTGTTGCCTTAGATAGATTGTAGATTTTAATGTTAAAGGCTCTTGATAAATATGCCCCAAGTTGCTTTCGTAAGCTTTATTTTAACAGTGAAGAAGAGGAAGCCAGAGGGACACAGCCCACGGGGTCAGGAGCCACCTGGTGCGGTGGAGTCCTGACCCGGATCCTGTTTTCTCTTCTGCAACTTTCTGCCTTCCCTTTGGGGACTCGAGCAGAAGATCAGTGGTTCTTATTTCTTTTTTTTTCCATACCACTTTATTTATTTATCTGTTTATTTATCTATGTATGTATGTATGTATCTATCTATCTATCTAAGCCGCAGAGCTCACGGATCTTAGTTCCCTGACCAGGGATTGAACCCCGGGCCCATGACAGTGAAAGCGCAGAGTCCTAACCACTGGACTGCCAGGGAATTCCCCTGTGGTTCTTCTTTGCCAGCTGATAGAAATGGGAATCCAAGGCTGCGTGGTACAGCGGCTCCTCTGCCAGCTGTGTGCCAGGACAGCAGGTCCAGTGTGTGCCACTTCAGCTCCTGCTGTTACAGCTGAAGTCACAAAACCACGGACCGTGTAAAAATGTGTTCCTTACGTAGAGTCGTTCCTGTTTGTGGTTTGCTCTGACACCTTTTAAAGCGAATGGTGGCGTTGTGTGTGATGGGCTGGCTGGGCTCGGTCCCTGTGTGGGGTTTTCCACCTCTCCACTCACCACTTTTCCAGCCTTCTCCCGCCCCGACCCCGCTTCGTGCTGCCCTGCTTTGGTCTGTCTGCTACTCCCTGCCTTTGTTCGTGCCGTCCCCTCTCCTGGGAGTGCCCCCCATTCTCCACAGCTGGCCTGCGAGCCCCTTCATCCCACAGACCAGCTTCCAGGACATTCCCGCGGGCTCTCCAGACAGCCCTCAGCACCCGGACCAGCTGCCCAGCCTCCTCCGCGCTGGGCCTTCGCCCTGACAGGGCATTTGCCTCACCCGGCATCTGGTCCTGCTTATGAGCAAGTCTTTGGAACAGTCTGTGCCTCGCTAATGTCTGTGTCCTCTGCACCACGTCTGACACTGAGAGGCATTTGCCGTGTTGCTTCCTGGCTCACCAGCTGACAAGGGTTCCGGGTTGACGTTCTCTGTGGCTGTGTTCCAGGTGTTTCTGTCCGAGTGGAAGGAACGCAAGGTGGCTTTGTCGCGGCTCACCAGGCTGGAGGTAAGAGACGACTTCCTGCACGGACTGCGGATGCTGAAGTCGTTGCAGAGTGAGCACGTCGTCACGCTGCTGGGCTACTGTGAGGATGACAACAGTATCCTCACCGAGTACCACCCCTTAGGCTCCCTGAGCAGCCTGGAGGCGACGCTGAACCTCTCCAAGTACCGGAGCACGAACACATGGCAGCACAGGCTGCAGCTGGCCCTGGGCTACGTGGCCATCATCGACTTCCTGCACCGTAGCCCCCTGGGCACGCTGGTCATGTGCGACTCCAGCGACCTGCCCAAGACGCTGTCCCAGTACCTGCTGACCGCCAACTTCAGCATCGTGCTCAACGACCTGGACGCCCTGCCCCTGGTGAACCGCAGCACCGGGGCCCTGGTGAAGTGCGGCCACCGGGAGCTTCGCGGGGACTTCGTGGCCCCAGAGCAGCTGTGGCCCTACGGAGAGGACGTGCCTTTTCACGACGACCTCATGCCCGCGTATGACGAGAAGATCGACATCTGGAAGATTCCAGACGTCTCCAGTTTCCTTCTGGGGCACGTAGAAGGGAGCGACATGGTCCGATTCCACTTGTTTGATATTCACAAGGCGTGTAAGAGCCAGACGCCTGCAGAGAGACCCACCGCTCAGGACGTCCTGGACACTTACCAGAAGGTTTTGAATCTACTCAGAGACACCGTGACATCTCAGACAAGAGAGATGCTGTAAAAACCAGTGCAGTCGGTGAGGTATGGGAGTCAAGGATCGGATGGAAGAGTTACAGTGGTTCCGCTCTGATGGTGAGGTTTTTGCTGCTTTGACCCGTGGTTCTTCCATCCGCGTGCACAAGTGAGCGGCTCCCTATCCTGGCCGCCTGGCAGGAGTTACTAAGCCAGAGCAAACCGGGCTTGATGGGAGCCTGGCTTCAGGCGAAGGTGCAAAGAAGCAGCGAGTGTGGCCAGTATCTGAAGGGAGTAACAAAAATGGAGCTACAAAGAGGCTTCCCTAACACCTAAATCTGTAAGCTTGTAAGAAATGTGTGTAGAGAGGTTTTTAAATTGCAGTGTACGGAAGAAACAAGCAGTAGTACTCGCTTTTTTAGGTGAGTATTGCGGTGTATTTCACTGGTACTGATGGGGCATCTCTACCATTTCAAATGATTGCTCTGTGAAGCTCCCGTGCCATTCCCTTCCCAGCAAGCTTGCACGCTCTTTGAAATTTTGAATGGATAAGGAACATTTAAAATATCAAGTATGATGGAGATTATGTTACTGCCTTGGATGGTGCTTGTGAAATTCCCACTTACCTTCCAGCTGGATTTTCTGTGTCCAAAATTAATTATTGTGAACACTTTATATCAACAGTATCTGTCACTCATTACTGGAAGGTGTCAAGCCCTTCCACTTGAGTTGCATGATTGAATCCTTCAAATAGCTCTTTCCTTGGTCACTGTCATCCTTGTTTGCAGGGGATGATGGATTTGGTGCATAGTCATCATCACCAGTAAGGGGGTTAAAGCTGACTGAGGGGCAAAGATGCTGTGCAGCCGACTGCCTGCCCCTGGCTTGCACAGGCCTCACAGTCACTGGAGTCACAGGGAGCTGGGCCCTGACCCACAGGCTCTGACTCAGTCTGTCTGGGTGGAGTCCGAGAGTTTGCATTTCTCACTGGTTTCCAGGTGATTCTGGTGCTGCCAGTCTGGGGACCACATTTCGAGAACCACTGTGCTTAACTGTCAGGGAGGGCAACCCAGGCAGTGGGATAGGGAGTATTGTCAGTATTATCCCTATTCTACTGCCTGTGGTTGATCGGGTCCTGTGGGTCCTATGGTTCGTCAGAGAATACGCTTGCCCAGAGTATATTAACTGCTACTTTCTGTTATAAAAATGCTGCCAGAACCCACTAGGACGGCTGTAATCAGAAGGATGGACAATAACAAGTGTTGGTGAGGATGTAGAGAACTGGAGCCATCATACACTGCTGGTGGGAATGTCAAGTGTTCCAGCTGCTTTGGAAAACAGTCTGGCAGTTCCTCAAAAAGTTAAAATAGAGTTACCATGACCCAGCAGTTCCCCTCCCCAGTATTTACCTGAGAGAATTGAAAACATGGCCATGAAAGAACTTGTACATGAATGTTCATAGCAGCATTACTCGTGAGAGACAAAAGATGAAAATAACCCAAATGTCCATCCACTGGTGAATAGATAAAGAAAACAAAGAAAATGTGGTCCATCCATTCCATGAGGTGTTGTTCAGCCATAAAAAGGAAAATAAGTACTGATACACGCTCCGACATGGATGAATATGCTAAGTGAAAGAAGCTGTCACAAAAGACCACATTTGTATGATTTCATTTATATGAAATGTCCAGAATCGAGAAACCCATAGACATAGAAAGTAAATTAGTAGTTTCTAGAGGCTGGCAGGGGCTTGGGGTTGAAGAATGGGGAGTGCTTGCTTGTGGGTACAGGGTTTCTTTGGGGGTGATGAAAATGTCCAGAAATTATGCAGTGGTGATGGTTGCACAACTCTGAATATACTAGGTAACACTGAATTGTACAAAAAAGGAGAATTCTATGGTATGTGAATTATATCTCAATAAAGCTGGAAACCACCCCCCACCTCTGCCACAAGACCATGTACCTCTTATGACCCTTTTCACTTGATGTAGTAGTTACTGTGTGGAGTTGCTGATTTGAAATTACCCTATTCATGTTGTAATTCTGGTTTGAGGGTTTTCTCGGTTTGGTGACTTTGCATTGGGAGCAAAACATTGTTTCAAATGAATTTGTTTTTAAATATTGATGATAGAGCTAAAATGAACAGCATGGTGTAAGGGAGGGGACGCTGTCAGGATCAGAAGACCTGAGTTATCGTCCCAGCTCTGCCTCTGACTCATGTGTGGCCTCAGACAAACCCATTTCTAAATGAGAGAGTTGGTGAGAGGCATTTCCAACTTCTGCTCTGCCTCTGAGTTCTCCCTGATGCTTTATCATGCCAGTGCCAGACACCAAACTGGCCCTGGCCCTTCAGGTTCAATCTTCAGTACCAACAGAACTGCAAAATCATAAGAGGAACTTACATGCTCACTAAAACCTGGGTGAGTTCATTGCCCACATATTCAGCAAAAGTATAATCAGGAGAAGAGGCAGATGAGGTGAGCCATTCTCAAAGCACAGCCCAGGATTTAGTGGTCTCTCTACTAACCTTATTCCAAGTTTTTTTTTTTTTTTTTAATCACCATGGGGACATCACTGGAAGTCCAGTGGTTAAGACTGTACACTTCCACTGCAAGGGGCAAGGGTTTGATCCCTGGTCAGGGAACTAAGATCCTGCATGCCACGTGGTGTGGCCAAAAAAAAAGAAAAAAAATGATCACTACCATGTGGTTTATAGTGTGTTTTCTCTTTATCTCATGTGATGCTACAAACACCCCAAGCTTCAGAGAGCCTCCAGGGATTGTAAATCGTTCAGCAGAGACAGGACACGTGAGTGTCCTTAAAATGAGGCACATGAGGTGGGAGTGGGGTGGAAAGCTTATCTCACACAGGATGTGTTAAAAAGGTCCTCTATGTATCCACCCTCCCCCCATTATTTTAAAAATAAATGTCAGTTTCAGTAATCACTATTCTCATATGACTTTTAATCATTTAACATAGGGGTCCCCAACCCTGGGGCCACAGACCAGTACCAGTCTGTGGCCTGTTAGGAAGCGGGCCGCACAGCAGGAGGTGAGCGGCGGGCAAGTGAAGCTCCATCTGTATTTACAGCCACTCCCCATTGCTTGCATTATCGCCTGAGCTCCACCTCCTGTCAGATCAACGGTGGCATTAGATTCTCATAGGAGCGCAAACCCTACTGTGAACTGTGCACGCGAGGGATCTAGGTTGCGCACTCCTTATGAGAATCTAATGCCTGATGATCTGAGGAGGAGCTGAGGTGGTGATGCTAGCACTAGGGAGCGGCTGCAAATACAGATTATCATTAGCAGAGAGGTTTGCACAGAGACCATAATAAATCAATTGCTTGCAGACTCATATCAAAACCCTATGAGTGAGTGGTAAGTGAAAACTACGCTGCTTTTGGTGGCAGGCTTTATAGTGGCAAGTGAGTTGATGGTACTTCAGTCATACAGCTGCATCTGATGGCGGGCTCTGAGTCAGAATCCGACACTTATTTTAGTCCGCGTGTGGCCCGCCCATTATTTTATTTACCACTTCCATCCGTGCCTCTTTCCTGCACTGCACACTTGTCTCAGTCACAGTTTTGGTAAGCCCACAAGCTAACCCTAGCCCACATGAGTAAAAAACAAACATCGCTGGAGAGCTTCTTTGGAAAGGTGGAAAGACCTAATGATGAGACAACAGAAAACTCTAAGACTGCCAACAAAAAGAAAGCTGCATTTAGAAGAAAGTGCCAAGAGCCCTACTTAAAGTACGGGTTCATTGCAACAGGTGATTCACATTCTCCAAGCCTACTTTGTACAATATGTGGCGATCGGCTATCCAATGAAAGCATGAAACCTTCAAAACAGCTTCACCGCATGGAGACCAAGCACCCTGCATTAAAAGACAAGTCTTTGGGGTTTTTCAAAAGATAAAAAAAAAAAATGAATACAAAGAACAGAAGTTCAATTATTGAAGTCTACCACTTCATCAAATGTGTCTGCACTGAGAGCATCATACTTAGTGGCTAACCACATTGCTAAAGCTAAGCCCTTTACTATTGGTAAAGAGTCGATCCTGCCTGCTGCTAAGGACATTGGTCGTGAACTTTTAGGAGAGGCTGCAGTTCAAAAGGTGGCACATGTTCCTCTTTTGGCTGGCACTGTAACTAGAAGAATTGATGAAATAGCAGAGGATATTGAGGCACAATTGTTAGAGAGGATTAGTGAGTCACCATGGTACGCAATCCAGGTTGACAAGTCTATCAATGTTGACAACAAGGCAACAATGCTTGTCTTTGTGTAATATATTTTTCAGGAGGATGTGTATGAGGATATGTTATGTGCACTTTTGTTGCCAGCCAACATCACAGCTGCAGAACTATTAAAGTCTTTGAATGATTACATATCAGGAAAACTGAATTGGTCATTTTGTGTCGGTATATGCACAGACGGAGTGGCTGCCATGACTGGACAGCTTTCTGGTTTCACTACTCAGGTCAGAGAGGTCACTTCTGAATGTGAGTCTACGCACCTAGAGAAATGCTGGCTAGCCGAAAAATGTCACCTGAACTTAATTTTTTTTGTGTGGTACGTGGGCCTCTCACCGTTGTGGCCTCTCCCGTTGCGGAGCACAGGCTCCAGATGCGCAGGCTCAGCGGCCATGGCTCACGGGCCCAGCCGCTCCGCGGCATGTGGGATCTTCCCGGACCGGGGCACGAACCCATGTCCCCTGCATCAGCAGGTGGACTCTCAACCACTGCGCCACCAGGGAAGCCCATCACCTGAACTTAACATTTTGAAGGATGTGATTAAAATTATCGACCACATTAAAGTACACACCCTTAACTCACGTCTGTTCATGCAGCTCTGTGAGGAGATGGACACAGAGCACACACGCCTTTTCTTATTCACAGAGGTGAGATGGCTTTCTAAGGGTAGATCACTGGCCAGAGTTTTTGAGTTATGAGAGCCGCTCCAGGGATTTCTTTTAGAAAAACAGCCACCACTGGCAGCATATTTCAGTGACACGGAATGGGTCGCAAAACTTGCTTACTTGTGTGACGTATTCAACCTGCTCAAAGAAGTCAGTCTGTCACTTCAGGGGAGAAGGACAACTGTGTTCAAGTTGGCATTCAAAGCCAAACTGGAATTATGGGGGCGACGAGTGAACATTGGGGTTTTTGACGTTTCAAACATTAGCAGAGATTTTGAAAGAGACTGAGCCAGGGCCTTCTTTCTCCCAGCTGGTGCATGATTACCTGTCTCAGCTTTCAAAAGGGTTTGAGCATTACTTCCCAACCACAAAAAACCCCCGAACTGGGAACGAATGGATCCGCGACCCATATGTGAGTAAACCAGGTGAATCGACTTTGCTGGTGCTCGAAGAGGATCAGCTGCTTGAGATCACAAATGACGGTGGCCTTAAAAGTATGTTTGAGACAACTTCAAATCTCCATACGTTCTGGATTAAAGTCAAGGTGGAATATCCTGAGGCTGCCACAAAAGCACTGAAAAGCCTGCTTCCATTTCCAACATCCTTTCTTTGTGAAGCAGGGTTTTCTGCAGTGACAGCAACCGAAACGAGATTATGGAGCAGACTGGACATAAGCAACACACTTCAAGTGTCACTGTCTCCCATCACCCCCAGATGGGACCATCTAGTTGCAGAAAAACAAGCTCAGAGCTTGCACTGATTCTGCATTATGGTGAGTTGTATAATTATTTCATTATATATTACAATGTAATAATAACAGAAATAAAGTGCACAATAAATGTAGTGCTCTTGAAACATCCGAAGACCATTCCCCCAGCCCTGGTCTGTGGAAAAATTGTCTTCTATGAAACTGGTCTCTGGTGCCAAAGAGGTTGGGGACCGGTGATTTAATGGTAATTTAAAATGTGAAACCAAGTCATCCCCAATGTTCTGTATAACTCACCTACACACACACCTAACCCATGGCTGGATCCCTGTGCACACCCCAGAAGGTGGTGAGAGTGAACCTTTGCAGATGCCTGGTGAGCAGGTGCAGAAATCCTGACTCTGCAGGATTGGGAGAAAATACACAGATTTGAACATTCAGCAGTGCCCAAGGGAAAGCAAACAGGAGGCTGTCAGCACTCAGCCTAGCTTTGTAGGATAAAGAGAAGGCAGAGAATCTTAAGAATTCCCCCCTAGGAGAGATCAAGAAATATGAAACAGGTATATCAATAGAAAAGTTCTGGAAGAGCCTCAGAATCCCTGGTAGAACTGACAGAAGCTATTTCTCCTTCAAAGCCAATCACTAAAGACTGGAAGAGATGGCTGCCTCTTCACATGTGAAGATGGCCATTCAACACTTCATGGGACATGAAAAATAAAGGAACATGATAATTCTTCAGTAACTGATCCCAAAGGAGTGGAGATCTGTGATTTGCCAGATAAGGAATTCAAATTAGTCGATATAAAGAAGCTCAGCAGGCTACAATAAAACATGAAGACAATTCAATGAAATAAGAAAAATAATACATGAATAAAACAAGAAGTTTAACAGAGAGCTAGAACTCATAAAAGAGAGCCAAGCAAATTCTGGAGCTGAATTCTACAGCGAATGACATGAAAAATGCAATAGAGAGCAAACAGCACAGTTGATCAAGCAGAAGAATCTCAGTAATACAGCAAGTTGAAGACATGTCATTTGTTCTCTATCTCAGTAAGACAGGAAGTTGAAGACAAATCATTTGAAATTATTCACTCGGGGAAGAACAAAGTAAAGGGAATGAAAACGAGTGAAGAAATCCTGCGTGAATTATGGATAACATCAAAAGAGACAGTCTAGGCACTATTGGAGTCCCAGAAGAAGAAGAAAGGGAAAAGGGGGCAGAAAGTTTACTTTAAAAAATAATGGCTTAGAACTCCCCAAATCTGGGGAGAGATTTGGACATTCAGGTTCACGAATAGGTCCCCCCAAAGATTGTTGAATCTTTTTGTTTTGAATCTTCTCTAAGACATTAAAATAAAGCTGTCTAAAAATCAAAGATAAAGAGAGAATTTTTAATGCAGCAAGAGAAAAAAAAAAAGTCCTCATATACAAGGGAACCCCCATAAAGCTATCAGAGAATTTCCCAACAGAAATCTTGCAGGCCAGGAGAGAGTGGAATGATATATTCAAAGTGTTGAAAGAAAACAACTGCCAACCTAGAATACTTTACCTAGCAAAGCTGTCCTCCAGAAATGAAGGAGAGATAAACACTTTCCCAGACAGACAAAAGCTGAAGGAGGTCATCACCACTAGACATGCCTCACAAGAAATGCAGAAAGGAGCTCTTCAAGCTGAAATTAAAGGATGCACATTAGTGACATGAAAGCATATGAAAATATAAATCACCCTGGTAAAGGTATGTACCTAATCAAATTCAAAATATTCTGATACTGTATATGGTGGTTTGTTAATCACTAAAGTTTATTATAAAGGTTAAAGGACAAAAGTATTAAAATAACTATAACCACAATAATTAATTAATTATTTGGTTATGCCATTCTTAGTTGTGGCACATGTGCACTTAGTTGCAGCTCGTGGGCTGCTCATTT